TATATATATAGAGATAAAATACAATAATTTATTAAGCAATCAAAAATTTATCTAATGATCTTTATAGCGAATGGCTTAATATTTATTTTGAAAATCACATTGTAACTTACTGAGGAATGTTATTTAATGGAGAAATCGTATAAATGTGATATTTTTCTGTTTTTGTCTCTTTCAAAAATTACTGTTCTAAAAATTAATTCATGGAATCCTGTAATGGTGGAAGTAGTTAATAATAACAAACATGAAAAAGGGTTTACTTTTAATTAGTTTTTAACAAAAGACAATTATTATTGAGCCTTTACAACTAGTGTAATTGTAATTGGAGAATTATATTTAAGTTTTTGATTAATTATCTAAATGAACCTATTTTTTTTTAAATCAATTTTTAAGAAATCAATAGAAGATCACAACCTGATTTATATAAGTGATTTTCCAATCCAAAATTTCTTTAATGAGGAGAATAGTGCTGAGAACTCAAATAATTCTCTCTTAAAATCTAAATCATTCATTATTTAGTACTACTAAATTATTTAAACCTATTTACAGTCTTCAATTCAATAAATATATAATAAATTTGCAACTTGACTAATTACGTAAAAAGTATAGATTATTCTTATCAATTCAGAACGATTATGGGTTTGATGTTGATGAAAAAGTGAAGGAAATTCATAATAAACATTCTGATGAGGCAATTGAATTGAAAGAAGAAGATGACCAAGAAATTGGCTATGGTTAAGAAGATGAGACTAATGTAATGTGTTTACCTACTATTCTATTAGATTAAGCTGGAGCTCGGGGAGCCAAATAGGCTGCATAAAGTGTCGTGTTTTAAGAAGATAAGGTTTCCTTGCCTGGTGCTTAAATTCCAAATGATTATTCAAATTTATAAGTAGGTGCAGAAGTCAAATAATTGTTTGAGTTTATAAAGCTCCTTAAATAGTTTTGGATGCAAAATTAAAGCCATTTATTCCAGATTATGCACCTGAGACAATTAATTTATTTACATTAGTAATCTAATTATGTATAATTTAAGGATTAATCTGCTATAAATCAATCCAAAAGGACTAAATTAGATTTAATAAATAGGGGCAAAAAATACTACTATTTATCCTATAAAAAATTAACAACCCAAAGGAAATTACAGCATGGATTATTGATGAAGCAGAAATGCATAAAAAAAGTAACCTACATCTATTTCATATTCTAAATTATGCTTGATATTGAAGAATTAATGTAAGTCTTGCAGTTAGAAATCGAAGACTTATTCTAAATCACTTAATTACAGGGTGACACATGGGTTTATTAGAATATTGTTAATTTCTCATGCAATTTGTTAGATATACTTATTTATTAAATTAATAACAATAAAAAAATCATAGAGTCTTTGCATTTTTTATTGACGTTGTTTTCAGAATTCAAAACAAATTAACTTTTTCGACAAAACAATGATGAAATTTAATCAATATCCAATATTATAAAATTATTTCCTTTTTCATCCTTATTCGCAGATTAAATTAATTTGAAAATATCTAGTTTAATTATTAATGAAAAAAACTATAAATTTGAAATTCTATCTAATATTAAAATTAATTGCTAATAGATAAATCCAATTCCATTTTGGCAAAATTATCATAACATTATACAAAATTTATAAAATATAAAAACCAAATTGATATAAAATCAACTTTTTTAGTAATTGGAAAGATATTGAAGTACAATTCAGGAATTAAGATCAAATATTTCATAATTTACTAAATAAGAAAAAAAATTTATTATAATAATGAATTTGGAATTAATTTGTAACTTTTTTGATAAATTCTAATTAATAAAACTCATACATAAATGATTTCTTATTCTATCTAAAGTTGGAAAAATATAATAATCAAAAAAGAAAGATTATTATAATGGATTTTATATTTATAAAGGAAAATTAAAGCAACACCAAATTCAGAAAATTAGTAAAAAAAAAATTAACTTCACCTTTCTCAAAATCATTAAATGAAAATCAGTTTGATTTAATATTGATTTATAAATATTTCTAGAAATAAATTTCACTTAAAACATGGAATTTTGACAAAGGATTATATTACATAGGAAGACTAAACTAATTAACAAGGAACGATAATTAATAAGTTAATTAATAGACTCATTAAAATGTGTATACAAGAAGAGAAGTTTAAAAAAGTTTCATTTATTCCCTTTTTTAGGAGAACAATTACATAATTATAGATTATAGATAAAGAGGAAATATATCAATAAGGAATAGCAGCCTCTAATTATTCATTATGGATCGGTTATAATCTTAATCAAGTCTATTATTGAAAAGGTAATTGAATTTTTTTCAATTTAAAAGCCATTTCTTTACACTCACATAATTTTATCAATAAATACGATTAAGCAATTACTCAGCCTTATAAATCAATCAATTCAATGATAATGCATAAATAATCAAGGGTATTTCATTATCATATTGCTGGAGCAACATTAATAACTAAGGAAAATTTACTGAAGCTTTTACTTTTATACATGTCACATTAAGAATAAGTCCAAATAATGAGTAAGGATTTTCTAATAAAGATTATAATTTCAATAACAATAGATGTCGCCTAATGAACTTCTCTCTATCTCTAAATAGTTAGCTAAGGTACTAAGAAGTTTTTGTTGTTTATGCCTAAGCAATAGAGTGCATAACAATAAAGGCTTTTTTATAATACACACTATTAATTAGGTGCCATATTATAGAATAATAGTGTTCCATTTCTCATACTAAAATACAGAAATATGCCAATCAATTTAATGTTATAACAATTCAATTATTCTAACAATAGGAACGATGAAGCTTATGAAAAAAAATATAAAAGATTGTTAGCGTTTTTCCTCATTATTTTCAACAAAATTTACAAAATAAGTTATTTTTGAAAATATAAGGAAGTTTTGTAACTTGTTATTAAAGCAATCTTTCTTAAAAAGATGCTATTAAATTAAAACACAAAGGTATTTTATGTTCTGATATTAAATCTGAAACATTATACAGAAGCAAAATAAGTTTTTTATGAAGCATTATGAATAGATAGGAAATCTAGATATATATTCTATTATATGTATTTTATGTTAAATGTTTATAAATCGTATTCGAATACCTTTCGAGTTCTTTCATTAATTTGTCAAGTAAAATGTTGATCATTAATTGGCATTCACCTTAGATTAAATAAATTTAATTATCTCACATAAAGAATAAAATAATACATTTTTAATAGCACATTTAAAATTCATATATTTTTATTTAAAATATGTGAATAGCCAAAATAAGAAGTACCTAGGTCTGAGAAAATAATAGCAAAATGTAAACAATATGAGTTTTAATTTTCTATTCATTGTGTAACAAAACTTTAATCATGTAATTTTATAAATTATTTAGTATTAATAATATTACCACTATAACACATTAAATTAAATAAATAATAAAACAAAATATTCACTCATTTGGGATTGAACTCAAGATTTTTAATTTGTGGTGATTCATTAAGAAAGGAAAGTTTATAAGCATGTTTATACCGGTGTTGATTTTATATTTAAATTTTTAATTATATGACAGGCCTATTGAATAAAGTAACATCCCCATTACGTGGTGGTGGTTGTGGGTCTTTGAAAACAATTCCCAACACAGATATAGTCTTAAAGTCTGATATTTAAGACATAGAAAATTTCATTTCTAGATTTGATTCTTTTGTCTAAACGATTTCCACTAAAGCAACTGTTGCAGCTAATTAAACAGAATCTTAAGACATAATGATAGCCATATAATGGTTTATTTTTCAAGAGGAAAACATTTATAAACTCATTAAGAATGCCTAAAAGATCTTAAAATCATACAACTTAATTATAAATGGAATCCAAAAATTATTGGAAAGTTGTTTGATCTATGTCAAAACGGATTCATTTAAATGCTTATTCATCTTAAAGATTACAGCATCTCTATCTAAAGTGATATTTAGTTTCCATATAAGAAATGATTAGAGATAATTGAGTTGCGAGACAAAATAGAAATTTTTAGATATTTGCGACGAATTAAAATAATAAATGGAAATAGAAAAGAATGATTTCATTCAAAATTAATTGGAACTTTACCTTTTCCTAACAAAAACTTCATTTCAAATGGCCCCAAATGATGGTAAAGAAAGGGACGATATTTTAAAAGGTTTTTTAAATGGCATTTTTTAATCCATGATTGATATGAAACCTAATGCTGAATTATTGATATAATTGTTTCGTGGAGTTTGCATGCTTTACAATCAGTATGTGAATTAAAAAAATAGATAATAATATGAAGTTTATTTTTCAATAGATATGTTGTAATGGGAAATTATATATAACTTTAAAAATGATGGCTAAAAGAATTTGGAAGAAATACTCTTACAAATTGAGGAAACACATGAAAAAATTGTGAAAAATTCAAGGAATTGGGAGAATCATTATTTGTGGATTTAAATGATTGGAACAATCTTATTATATAATCCTCTTATAACAAAAAAAAAATTACAACAGTTAACGAGCTCTTTCAATCTTGAAGCAAAATCAATGTACATATGGAAGGAATATCTGAACAAAGGATTTCTAATTAAAATGAATCATAGCGATGACTAAGCTTTAATTTTGCTTTATTAATTTACAAATAAATAATTAAGTTAAATTGATAAATTAATACTAGAAGACACTTTCAAAGAATGGGAAAACCTCATGGTACTTAAAGACTTCTTACTGAATGAAAGAAATGATAATATCCATTTCACATTTGGTTCCTATCTGTAATTTTAGTTAGGAAGCATGGAACCTTAAAATAATGAATAGATACAGGCCATTTGCAAAATTTAACAATTTTTTCTATTCATTATTTCAAATAAATTACTAGCACTAATTCAAGAAAATGATGAGAGATTGGAAATCATAGTTAAAAATTATAAAAATTTTTACAAAGAAAATAACTACTTTAATGAGACAATAGAATAAGCTACATATAACTAATAATTAAAAAAAATTGTTTTCAACTTTAAAGAATATTTCCAAAACACTGTCAAAATTATTAAAATTATTGGGCATAGTTAAAGGAAATAAACTTTTTAGATAGAATAACTTGTATGATGAAAAACTAGTAGAATAAATATTATCTTAAGCAATTTAAGATATTAAAAATAAGAGAAATGAACCTGATGAAATCATAGTTCTTTAATAAGAGATTGAATTGATTTAGGAAAAATTCAAAAACATATAAATCTAATAGATAAATAATTTTCATTTTTCCATGAGTTCAAGTAAAAGCTGCTTGCATTACCTAATGCAACTTAAAACTAGAAACTTTTTTTGAATGAAGCTCAATGCTTGTTAACTCGTATTCAAGAAAGTGAAAAATATGTTTCAAAGATAGAAATTGTTTTTCTTCAAAAGGATAACTTAATTCAATACTTTTAATGGTTATTGAATAACCTAAATTGTAATTATGAAGAACAGATCTAAGAACTACAAAAATACTGTTAAGAATTTATTGAAAACTTTAAGACAATTCTAATTTTACAATATGAAATAGAGTCTGTTTCTAAAACTGAAAAATTAAAAGAAATAAAATAAAAATATTCTAGCAAGCTTTCATTGAAATGTATACAACAATAAAGGATTTTGTAAATCATATCAGAAAGGGTTTGTGAAGAGTTGAGGGAAAAATAAATCAAATAAAAGAGCAGCTCAACAACATGGGGAATGATATTAAATTTTTGAGAGGAAAATCAGTTGTATAGTTGCTTGAAATTAGAAAATGGAAAGTGTTGAAGGAGGCAGCAGAAAAAAATGTTAAGTCCATCTATGTACCATTAAAAACTTAAGAAAGAGGTAAAAATGAGATCAGTAATTTGATGAATTTAGATTAATTTGATGATAAAGATGGAGAAGTGAATGAGTTTTTGTCTGAAGAGAAAACAGTATTGCTAATTCATGGATTAGCTGGATCCGGCAAAAGTACTACAGCCAAAAAAATTGAAGAGTTTATTTGGAAATTACATGATAGTAATAAAAAAATTGGGAATTATGTACTAATACCTGTTTATATTTCATTACCCTCTTTAAAAAACCCTGTTTTTTAAGCAGTAGAAGAATCACTTAAATAAGATGATTATGGGTTTGATGTTCTCTAGTTGAAAGAATGTAAAGAAATGTTGTAAAAGTAAGAATTCCGATTCATATTAATAATGGACAGTTATGATGAAATGAAGCTAGAGAATATTTAGAAAAATTTATATATTAATAATAAGCTCAAATAAAATTGGTCAAACCCTCTTGTTATTTTTACCACCAGAAGTGACATTTTTACGAGCAGCAATTATGCCGACTGGTTTACGCCGGATGAGAAATAGAAATTTAAAGAAATCTAGCTACTTCAGTTTGAGTAGAGTTAAAAATAAGAATATCTTAAGAAATTTACGATTTAGAGTATTAAAATGTTAATTTTTGATATACATGAATGGTAAGTATAGACTTAAAACCAAAAAGCTCTAGATTTTAAAAGGTTTGAACAGAGTTGGGAAAAGATATAGTCATCATTTTTGAAATTTGATGAAGCAAGGTGGAAATCTGAGACTCTTTTGAATGAATAATAAATAAACAGTATTGTATAATGTTTGAAGGATGATGAGTTAATTGCTTTAAAAAGTATTGAAGCTAGTA